TTTTTATTTCTTTTTAAAGTTAATAAAATGTAAATCTTCCTCCTTTATCCGGACTTGGGACCGGCTACATCAATTTTAAGTAGGCGGAGTTAAAAATTGTACACGAACAATTTGTTGTAACGTGTACAATTTTTTAAAGAAAATTAAATTTAACGATTAAAAAATAAAAAAATTTTGATTAATATAATTAAATCAAATATCACTTACCTGACGACATGCAATTTCAGCGTATTTATCTTGTAGTCGAAAATAAGTGTCCTGTCAATCCTTCACACACATTAACGCTTCCAAAACATCTTCTTTCAGTCGGCTCCTGATATCAGTCAAAACCCTTTTACCTACACTAAAAGTAGACTCTGAAGCAACAGTGCTAACCAGAGGTGTCAATAGATCTTTCGCAACTGCAGAAACAATTGGCCAACGTCTCTCATACTTTCACCAGAATTCAATTACTTCTTCTGAAAATTTTTTAATTGTTCTGTCTGTTGGCATATTATGATTGAAATAGTCAATTAATTCGGCAGGCATTGCATTTTGAGATTCGACCGATATTTGATGAGATGCAAATGTAGACGACATGGCACTAGATGAACACATTGCAGTTGCATCATATCTAAATGTATTAATGCCTTGAAATAAATTTATTATTTTCGCAACATCTTCTTCAGTTTCAACAGAAGGAGTAGGTGCAGCAGAGGGTACCCGACTAACATTTGCACCCATTCTTTTCGCATATAAATCATACATTCCACATAATGTTTGCTCTAAATTCTTATAGGTGATAGGTGTATCAAGTATTAAAACTTTATTGATTTGATCAATTACGTATTTAGTTCCTGAAATATTATATTGGGGGTCCATTGCGCATGCTAAAGGAAATAACATTGACAGTTCTTCCCAATATTTTCTAAATTTTAATTCCATAGCAATTAAAATTTCACTAAAAGCAAGATCATTTTTATATTTATGGAATGTTATTGCAATTATATAAAGGCGTTCAAGTATCATACAACTTGTGGGATAATAAACGCTGGATAAAATTTTTGTGGTCTCATAAAAAGATGTCAAGAATCGTTTAACTTTCAAAACTAAAATCCAATCGGATTCATTTAACATACCATCATCATCACTTCTAATATGTCTATTATTATAAAAGTCAGTTATTAAATTTTCGAAACCTTCACATGATTTTAATAGCAAGTATGTAGAGTTCCATCTATGACCTACGTCGCTAACAAATGTTTTAGCAGTCATCACCCCTAGTTCGGCACAAAAATCTTCAAATACTTGTTTTCTACTAGGAGAGATCATAATATAAACTAATGCATTCCTAATACTTTGAAGTTCATCCTTTATATGTTTTAAATCATCTTGCACAATTAAATTCAAGATATGACACACACAACGAATATGAAACAAATACCCACCAAAATCAGGTTGAAGTGTCCTACACAATTTATTGACGACTACCTTATTACCGCTAGCATTATCAAAAGTAAAAGATCGAATTTTACTCTCACAATGATATTCTCTAACAATACTGATAATATCATTATATATATTATTAGCATTGTGAGAAAATTCAATAATTCTAAAAGCAATAATTTTCTTATGCATGCACCAAAGTGGGTCTATATGGTGTGCGGTTGTAGCTATATATGCTATTTTATTAACCCCTTCCCATATATCAGAAGTTAAGGATATAACACCCCCCATATTGTTGTAAATCCATAATTAATTGTTGTTTTGAATTATTGAAATAATTTATTGTATCGGCACGAAGAGTGTTTCGACTTACCCCAAGGTACCTCGGTTGTAGATATTCTTTCACGAACGAGACGAAGTGTTGGTTGTCTGCAATAGTCAGAGGCAACTCAGTGGCGACAACAAATTTCACCATTCCAGTTCGAGTCTCGTCCTCCGAATACACCCACGTGGATAGGGGTGAAGTTGTAGAACCGACGCCTAGACTGCCAAATTGTAATTGTGTTTGACCAGTTGGAAGAAGTCCATGTCTGGCTGCACATGATTTGTAGTGGCGGTTGAGATAAGTGGTACCAATTCCTTTTTACCATGCCAATCTTTGTTGGCAGTATTTACATACTGCTTTAGATTCTGCAAGGCCATCAACGACTTTTCCCGTTGAAATCAACTTAAAGTGATCCCAACATTTTGCTTGTTTTTTGGCCTTTCGCTTTCCCCTCGCATCTGGGATATTTAATTGCTGATCTTCATCTTCACGTTCCGCTTCGGGAACGTTAATATCACCTAAATCAATTGGAGCGTGACTTCCCTGATCGTGAATGTGAACATCTTCAAGTATCGGTATGTCATTTAGACCGGCAAATTCATTTGAAAATTGACTTTGCAACGTACTAGGCAATTCTCCATGATGTGGCAATGGCTCACATCATGTATCAAACAAGCTTTCAACAAATGAACGTTGATCCATTTCTGTGATTGTTTATGATGAAATTTTGACTAGATGAATATAAATGTAGTGAGATTGTGAGAATTGAGAATTGGATGAATTGAAATTGTAACTAATAAACTGAAAAAATTGAATTGATATTGTATATTTTGCAGCACAAGAGAGTAAAAACTCGATAATTGATATAATAAAAGAGAGTTGAGAGAGTTGTAATCTTGGAAGAGCAATTGATATGAAAAAAAATTTTGGGGGAAGGGGGTATTTATAGTAAAAAAATGGGGGGGGAAGAAAAAAAAAGTTCAGTAACCAGAACGGTCACTGAACAGGCTCATGGCTCGTCCAAACGAGCCGCCCACGAGCGGCTCGTCTACACGACGAGCCGAGCTGGCTCAGCTCGCCTACGGGCGAGGCCCGCTCGTCTCGTGCTTGGGCTCGTGAAATCACGAGCCCGGGCGGGGGGGGAGCCGAGCCGGCTCAGCCCAATTGACATCCCTATGTGAGGCGTGCAAGTTTTGTAAAAATGTGGGATGAGAGGAGATTAAATCTAATTGTAGACGGAAATTGTAATTTACTTATCTTATCCTTTTTTTATTTTGTTAAATTTTATTTATGTTTTAAACTAATCAATTATTTTTTTTTTTATGTTCGGTAGATGTGAATGAGAGTCAAGGGCCTTTGACTTCTATTGACTTCTAATAGTATTTATTTATCCTGTCATTTTTTCCAGTTTGTTATCTTGGAAATCCTTTTTGGAATTTTAAATCCCATTTTGTAAATTTGTTATCCAAAAATCATGAGTTTTTATGTCCCTTATCTCACGGTATATATTATTTTTATTTATTTTCTCCATTGCTATAGTTTATATAAGTTAATGAATTATAACTGACATTTTTCATTTGTTTGTAGCTTTACTTCTACGAACACATGCCTATAATTTCTCACACTCTCTATAATGTGGATATTTATTGAGAGAATTTTGATGATAGAGAGTTATGTTTGACATTTCCATTGATGGTTGGATGGTCACATTCAGTGGAGCACAAATCAAAGAATTCATACATCAAAAAGAAAAGAGAAGAATTCGATTTGATGCTTACAAATGACAATGTAAGTTTATTTTAATTATGTGAATTTTTAATTACTCTACTCTAATTTTCTTTAGTTTTTAATTAATTTTATGTTATTTTCTCTCGTTAGATTATGTGACGGTCATATGCTAGATTGCAAGACGATTTTCTACCTCAATATCTTGTTGGGCAAATGGATGTTGCGCTTTCCCACATAATATTGATATGTTTTGAAAAATAACATATCATAGGTCCCGTTGAAGTTGAATTTGCCAGTTGATTTAATTCCCAGTCAAACAATCATTAACGATAGTCAACAAGTAGAGCACTGCTTCACAAAAATTTGATTGGAATGTGAGGCATGTGAGTTTTGTAAAATTTTGGGACGAGAGGAGATTAAATCTTATTGCGACAGAAATGATAATTTATTTATCTTATCCTTCTTTCTAATTTGTTAAATTTTATTTATATTTTAAACTAATTGTGTTCTTTTTATGTTCGGTAGATGTGAATGAGAGTCAAGGGCCTTTGACTTCTAATGGTATCTATTTATCCTGTCCTTTTTTCAGCTTGTTAAATTTTATTTATGTTTTTAACTATTCGTGGTCTTTTTATGTTTGGTAGATGCGGACGAAAATCAAACGTCAACGATACCCGGAGGAGTTGAAAGTAATCTGGGTGATGACTTTCATAGTCCATATGTTGGTACTTATAGTGGAGGTGCCAACATCATTGATGAAGGGCCGAGTCATGAAATTGAGGTTGATAAAAGTCACATGGAAGATCAAACTGCTACTGGGCAGCATGCTGTGGATGACTTTCATAGTCCATGTGTAGGTACTTGTGGAGGGGCCAACATCATCGACAGTATTTGAACTTTCTTGGACTTGTTCTTCATTGAAGCAGTTCCTGAAATACAGGAGTCAGATAATGGAAGATCTTTTCAACAACCTTCTGTTTGTATTTGAATTTGAAATAGCAAAGTTATAGCACTGAACATGTATAAATAGCACTGATGTATGTGTACATTAAATGAGAAAATAAATCATTTTACACTCTCCCATTTATCGAGAAACTAAATTTAGACTGAATATCCCGAATTATACTTTTTATGTTTTTTGACTCATTCCTTACGTCCAATTCTAGTAAAAATATTGTAATTATTATTATTATATGCATTAAGTAATTAAAAAGATAAATGCATTCTTACCGGAAGGAATAACTACCAAACGATGAACTAGTAAAAAGAATCCTTAGAAATCCACTCCAGTTAAGTTACGTGTGAAATGATGAGAAGGCGTCGGTCTTTAGAAATGCAGAAATACAAACATACATTCTCGCACGTTTGTAATATCCTATATATAGCCAACTTGTCCTTCTTCCTTTAACATCAAGTTTCTGGGATTTGTTTTATTTTTCCAAACGTACAGATTAAAGACTAAAGATCCTTCCCTTGCAACAAGGTAAAGATGTTTAAACTCCAGTGAAATATTCTTTTAACACCAATATAATCATGGCTTTGTGGATTAAATTTCTCAAATGCAAGTCTTGAATTATTCATATGTTTTGCCTTTTACCATTTGATCATCTTATTTGCATTTTCTTCTTGGATTAATCAACATGCACAACAGGTCAAATAAATAAAAATCTTTTTTCTTTTTTCTTTTTTTTTTTGGGTTTCTAGTTTAGTATTTGAAATCTGTTTTTGACAGTGAATTGTGTATCATTTTATGTGGTTGGAATTACTGATTTATTTTAGATTTTTGGTTAAACTTTTCTACGAATGACGAATTTACAGATTGGTTTAGGAATTTTGGCGCTCGTGAAAACTGTTAAAGATGATTGGAGGATTCATCTCCAGAGGATTTATGTAAAAATTAGTTTCCTGTTTTGCCTCCTTTTTCTCTTATATTTCCGCTTATTCAGAGTTTACTTTGAATGGGAAATCTTGAATTGTGTTCATGGATTTACAGTGTGGTTCTTGGTTACGCCTATCCTGCATTTGAGTGTTTCAAAACTGTGGAGAAGAATAGAGTTGAGATTCAAGAACTTAGATTTTGGTGTCAATATTGGTAAGAACTTTTATTTATTTTTTTATTATTATTTTTTTCATTTCTTGTGCATTAGTATTTCATTCTTTAGAAAATAAATTATAATGCTGGTCCAACATTGCATGGAAATGGAAAGGGGAAACAAGAAACGGGCACATGAAAAATTCTATTTATTTTTTTCGGTGTTTGTAGGATTATCATAGCAATGATGTCAGTTGTTGAGAGGATTTTCGATACATTTGTTTCATGGTATGCATTTCGTGTATCCTCTTTTTAATTTTCCAATTTTCGAGTTTCTTTCATTACTTGCTTGAGATTATAATTAATTTAGGCTGCCAATGTACGATGAGTTGAAGTTGGCCCTCATCATTTACTTGTGGTATCCAAAAACAAAGGTCAAAACCCTCTCTTTCTTTTCACTTATTTTCTTCTTCAAATTAATTTGAGAATTGCTCAAAGATTTTATTAATTTTTTTTTAATGTAGGGGACAAGATACGTTTACGAATCCTTTTTACGGCCTTATTTGTTGGAGTATGAGAAGGATATCGACCGAAGTTTACTGGAATTTAGGGAGAGAGCATGGAGTATGGCCATTTTTTATTGCCAAAACTGCAAACAACTGGGCTCTGCAAAGATTGTGGAATTTCTTCAATTTGTTGCTTCCAAGTCTGCAATGATTAACCCCACTTCTGAGGTTACAAATTCTTTATCAATTAAATGCAATCACGAGTCCCACTTACAAATTGAATTATTCTGCGGGTACAAATTTTTTTTACAAGATTTTATACAAAGAGATAGTTGTTTTCTTGTTATTTGTTATTGCCAAAAGCTGTTTTTGACAGTAACCAATCCCTGCAAGACAACTGTGTTTCCTGTATAAAATCTGTTAAAAAAATCTGTACTTGTAGCATTTCTCTCACAAATTTCTCCAAAAGCTCTCCTTTTTCTTTTCTTTCTTTCTTTTTTTTTTTTTTAAAAAAACTCATTTTCCACTACATATTCTCATTGTAAAATATTTTGTACGTAAATCTAAAAATCATCCAACTTCACAAATACACAATCTCCGAAAAATCAACACTCCGAAACTCATTTTCCTCGAAAAACACTTGTAAATGGGCCTCAAAGAAGGGCTTAACTTTGTCCAACCAAGATCTTGTTGAGGCCCTCTTTGACAACCGTTACTTGAAAACTTTTTTTTTTATGTACTTATTTTCAATCACAATAAAATATTCTGCACGTAAATTTTTTTAAAAAAAATGCCTGGGCCACACTCTGTCTTAGGACCCCTACAGCTAGACCTAAAATGGTCTGGCTATGAGGGGGGACTGGTCCTATCCATGCGCGGTTACTGTTTTGTACATTGGTCCGGTTTTTTGTGTGATGGACCGACCTTGTTACACCTTCAACTGGAATGCACAAGTTTTACCTTTTCTCCTGCTTGTCACACCATATATGTCCTAAAATTGCCAGGAACAAATTGTGCAGAAGGTCCAAAATCAGAATTCTAACGAAACTCATCCTCCTCCGCCAACCCCACCTAGTACGCCGTCAAGATTAGCCAAGAAGAATGACAACGACAGTCCAAGGCGGCTAATTACACGATCGAGAACACCCTCCTTTCGTCGTGTCCAAACGCCCAAATCCGAATCCTTTCAAGTTCAGACACGAGGCGTTGACACCGAGGATGTCGTAAACCTGGACGAGGATAAAGGGTCGCCAATGGAACAACATTTGCATCATGCCCAGCTTAAACTTAGGCGATTCAAAACTAGCGACTAATAAATCATATTGTAATAAATATATAAAAGAAAAAGGTATATGAAATTGTATTATGAATTTAAATTTATTCATGTTTTGTGATTCGTGTAATTTCCTTCTTTTCGAATCAACCTTGCGGGTTTGTAAATATAAACTAATCTTCTACTGTTCTACATTTAAATTGAAATATGAAAACGGTAATTTCTATCTGGATTTCCGGATCCGAATAGCTTCGAGTAGCCAATTGGAGAGCCGGGTCAGGGCTTGAAAAATATGGCGGAAGAAAGTGGGGACTCGCGGCGGCCAAAGGCGGTGGAGGAATCCTTTCCTAACGGCCGTCTGCTTCGAGAGATAGGACTCATTGGATTTCGGAGAATCGACCGGAGCTGATGCAGATGGCAAAAGGTCCTGAAGTGAAACGTACCCAAGAGAAATTTTCTCGGTCGACAGCCTAAAATCGTCAGGTGCTGTCCGAAAGGATGATGATGACGAGAAGGCCAAGGAGCCAGTGGTGGTTGTTGTGAAGGTGGAGTAGGCGGAGTTGTGGCGGGATTGGAGGAGGGTTGTGGCCATGGAGATCCGATGACGGAGAAGTGAGTCTTGAGACGGAGACGGATGCGGTGCTGGTTGCGGCCGCAGCGGTGCAATATGTTTCATTGGGAGAGCATTAGGAATAAAGATTTGACAATGAAAAAGTGACGGAAAGAATAAAGGTTATGTTGTTTGTGTTGATTTATTCATATGTGGCGGCTTTCCGCTATATGTAGGACGACACAGCGATTCGTTGGATCAACGTTGTTTTTGTAGTAGAATAATCTTACACGATAAGTCATTGAAGTTAAGTCCTGTTTGATTCCCATTACGAAGGAAAATTAATGAGGGGAATAGTACTTTTTTGAAAAATGAGTGATTGAAAAAGAATGAAAAATTTTCGATTTACGTATAATATTATTTTATGGAAGATTGTGTGGTTGAAAATAAGAGAGAGAAAAATAAAATGTAATAGAATTTAATGTAATGGGGATCAAACAGGGGCTAAATAGCTGAATTAGAGAGGGGTATTATGCCCCCATTTGAGCCCCTTTAAATTCATGTCATACATTTTTTAATAAAATAATATTTCATATAAATCAAAAAAATTTCCTTTTTTATTCAACTATATAATCTCTAAAAAATCTCTATTTCAAAAATTATAAAATCAAATAGTGGGATCAAATGGGGCTGTATATAGATAGAGTCAAGCTATTCGACATGTTCATCATTGACTTAATTCGGCTCATTACGTGAGGCGGCTTACGTATGGGATACTACGAAGCGAGTGCGAGTTAGCTCATTTCCAAATAACCATTCACGGTTTATTTATTTGTAAAAAAAATGAAAAAAAATTCTCATTTTGACCCCTCAAAATATAATTAAGACCTAAATTTGTAAAGATAAATCTATTTGATCAAGAGAATGATAAAGATGTAACAATCCTATTCTTTTATTTGTGCTTGAATCGGCTACTTGATTGTTGTATGCAGAGTTCAAATCATAAAAAATTTTGTGTACAATTTTATACAAAAATTCGAAGTAAATAAATTTAGAAACGAAATATAGTTACAATACTACCTTTATAGTTTGCAATTGCGCATCTTAAAAGATATCGAAAGGTCACTTCTTTTGAAGCCACTAGGGAATTTTTAACGAAATTTTGCAATTTCTTCTTTGTGAAGTAGGCCGTTATCTTGGCAATAATGAGTTAAATGAACTTTTTGAGAAAATTGATGTAAAGTAGTCTCCTAAAAATATTCTTATACAACAAGCCAGAGTCATGCCAAATGATTTGAAAGACATGTTAGTTAGAGATGTCAGTGGGGTGGGGCGGGGGCTTGCCCCAATTTTTTAAAATTTTTTATTTTAATATTTACATTTTCAAAAATTTCTTTTTCAATAACATTAGGTTTTTCTTCCATTTCAATCAATCTTTCACCTCAAAATTTCTATTTCTATCCTTATTTTGATAAGAAACAATAAAAGAATAAAAGTAGGAAAAAGAATAAAAATTTGTCACCCTCTCTGATAGAAATCTGCAAATGATTAAGTCTACTTTCTCGCAATGTAGGTTTAGAAAGAGTATGGGAAATGAGACCATTGGTCTGCAAATGAATGCATTGATTGGATGAGAGACCCTTTTTTCAATAAGAGGGCGTGAGGCGGGGCGGTTGCTTCAATTTCTTTTTTTTTTTTCTCTTTTACGGGGTGAGTTATTTTGTCATCTCTATGCATAATGATAGGAAACACAATTCTCTCGTAGACAAACATGTGCTTTTATTCATGTTGTAGTCCGAGTCACATAATGTATCTCCGTCTAAGATATGGTTTCTAAGCTTAAGAATTTCATACATTTTGAATTCATGAAATGTTAAATTTATGTAGTTCGATCGGGAGTTTAAATTATACAATTTGAAATGGCGATCGATCACTTTAGTTAGGAAAATAATTGGTAATACGCCAAAATATATTTTTGAAAATATTTTCCATCATGACTCATACTTGTGATAATTGAGATTTTCACCCCTGCACATTAAAAAAAAAAAAAAATAATAATAATAATAATAATAATAATAATAATAATAATAAAATAATTAATAATGAGAGAATAACATAATTTAAATTAGGAATCCAATATTCACATTTCATAGAAAACGAAAATATCTTCAATAGACTATAAAATAAATTACATATTTTCACTTATCATGAGTTCAAATAGCTCCATTTTGAAATTAATGACAAAATAATAGTTTTCTCGTTTTCATGACGAATCAAAGTTCCGAAATTATTATAATTTTGATAAAATGATTTAAACAACTGAATTATAATAAAGTATGTGCCAACCTAGTTGGAAAGTACTTAAATTAAATATGCACAAATGATTGGTAGTTAAGTATGTGCCAATCTAGTCAGATATTCTTAAACTTTAAGCACTCAATTGGAATTCACTTTGGATATTCAATATTTTTTGCAATGTGTTACATCTGTTCATGTAAACTTTTACTTTGTTATTTAGTGCTTGTTTGGTAGGGATTTTGTTAATTGATTTTTTGATCGTTAGAGATAAAGTGTATCCTAATTGTGAGAGAAGAATTAAAAAATGATGGTTGGAATAGTGAAATAATAGTAAAAAATAATTGTTGTTAATTGAATTAAAATCTGTACCGAACATGCTCTTATTCTTCTTTTTGTAGTTAAAATATATGTATCTTTTATCACATATTCCTAATTCCTATGTCGTAAAGTACAATTTGTACAATAGCTTCTATATTTTCAACTTTTATAACGTAGATGAGAGGAAAAAACGCGAAGTAAAAAAATTTAAGTGATACTAATAATATCTACATACACGTTCGACATAATTATAATGAAAATCCCACATCGAAATCTAGTGAAATATTCCGAAATTAAAAATAACCATTTATGAGTATTGGTGAGATAATTTATGGATAGGCTAATAGGCACATTTTATTAGCCAATTTCGGCCCGACCCATGAACCGTAGCATATCGATCATATAAGGACCAACCACGCTAGTTTACATAGGCAGACCAATTCGAATTGATTTGACAATTATTATCTCCGTACTCCCATAAGTTTAATCTGTTCGGTTCAAGAGTTCTGTGTTTAAGTTATATCTTTATAATATTGGTTTTATCGTATATATTTTATCCATAGATTAGAAAAATTCATAAAGAAAGACAAAAGAAGAAATAAAGAAAAAATTTGACGTATAGAAAGGTGGAATATATTTTTTTTTTCTATATGATAATCAAAGAGGGTGGGAAAGCTAGAATAATTCTTTGGAAAAGCACGAGATTGGAACCAAAATAGGTCCCCACACATTTGACATTATAATTTGAATGCAAGGGTAGTTTGGGAAGAATGATGATGAGGACAGCCAAGTCAATATTTTAATCTTTGTCCACGAATAATTCTATTTGTGTCGAATAGAATATATTGAAAGTTGTCACCACTCTATCAAAGCACGCAATCCCCATGTAAATATAAAAATTTTAAAATGTGGTCATCACCTCCTATTGTGAGTGGAGGTAAAGGAGTAAGTAAAAAATTTATGTACATGTAACATTATCCCTTTGTCCATTTATAAATCAGTTGTAAAAAGAAATAAAAGCAAGTTTTGTAATGGGTCACGAAACTTTTTTATCATGTTTCCCATCCACAAAGCTTTAACTAATTCATTGCAAATTTTGGGGTGAGCTTAAACCATTTTATAAGCCCAAACATGCCCTTAAGGTGAATTTCATTAATGCAAAGTGCAGCCCATTAATCCTTTATGAAGATGACTTCAACTTGTTATAGCTTATCTTTTCCTACGTTTTAGTAATTTTCGACGTTGATAGGTTAGCAACGTGAGTCATCCTGCTCAAGACAATTTTTTATGTTTTCTTATCTAAGATCGGAGCACAGATTTAGCTAATTATCCATAATAGTTACTGAATTTTACAAAAGGTTTTCAGGAAATCACTGAATTTTAAAACTTTCTTAAATAGTCACTGAACTTTACTAAAAATTTTCAAGAGACTACCGAATTTTGAAACTTCCCTGTATAGTCATTAAACTTTGCAAAAAGCTCCTAGAAGTCACTCAAGTTTGCAAATTGGGACCCCATATGTCACTGGTTTAGTGACCCCCTAGGAACTTTTTGTAAAGTTCAATGACTATTTAGGGATGTTTTGAAGCTCGGTGACTTCTTGGAAACTTTTGGGAAAATTTAATAACTATTTAAAGAAGGTTTGAAGTCCGATGACCTCCTGGGAACTTTTGACAAAAATCAATGACTATTTGGGGAATCAACTCCATTTAGTTAAAATCAATTTTTTTCAGTGTTATTTTTTTACCACATATTCAATGGGATCCACAAATTTTTTTCGCTTTTAACCACACATTCTAAAAAATTCATTTTCACCTAGAAATATCTATCCCAAACAAGCTTTAAATATGAAAGAAGTTGCAATACATAATTTATAAACAAATTTTAAATGGTCAAACTTCATTTTCAATCACATATTTCAATGGAGTCCAAATATTATTCACTTATCCTCCTCATTTCTATATATGATATATCTCTAAATCAAACCGTTTAGAAATTCTTTTCAAATGGAGTCTATATAATTCAATAAAATTTATTACTATGTACCATATGTGTGAATT